TTAATTCACTTAAAGCTCAACCTGGGGAAAAGCGTACACCCGATAGGTGAACAACACACTGCAAGCGGCAGGTGACAAGCAGTACAGTCACAGTCTTAAAATGTGGCACTGTGGCAGTATGGCAATACTTATGGCACCATCGCATGTGACTACATTTTGACTTGCTGTTTGTCGTGTCTATATTGTTGTTGTATGTTTTTTATTTTGCGGTATTGGTGATGTTTGCATTATCTCATTTTCCATAAATGGCGGATAATGGAATGGCGACACAGCTAGAGAAGTCGCAAGCGCGCCTATCGCGATTACCAACTTCAACATGGGTGTGACACATGTCCACTGGGCTTTTGCCACCTCCACCGAGTGCAGACTTTACTGCTGGTGCGCACAACACACACATGAGTGCATACATATATACATGCACATATACAAATGTTGACAGTGGACTGTTGATGTGCTGTTGACGATGATGAGGCGTCAAACAATTAAATGCGCCATACATACTCCTTCGCAACGCCTGCGCCTGCCCTTACCGTGGGAGGCGCGTTATCATGCGGCGCAAGATGGGCCAGGCAGTCGTCAAAAGTCTACAACACAGCGCCTGTTACGCGCTGATGTGTCTATTTGCCGTAGGATCCGGCACTCGAAGGACGTGCATGCAGTCGGTTGAAACACGTGGTTGGAAGCGAGCGACAAGCGTTCCGAAAAGTATATGGAATATACGGGCAGACAGGAGCAACTGCTGTTTGAAGCAGCGTCAGCATCATGGGAAATATGTGTCAACACGAAGAGTGAGTGTGAATTGTTTGAAGCTGCTTTCGGGGATAATTTTAAAAAGTGTATTAAGTTTTCAACAATATTAGAATTCGTGAGACTTTAGCGACGATATACGGTTAAAGACAGTGATATATCATATACATATATTGGAATGCTGTGAATTCGTCTCGGATTTTTGCCCCTTCAAGTATGTTACGAAAACACAAATACGGTCGCCTAGCGGCTCTTGTGCTCCGCATATAGTGAAGACGTTGTGGCCACAGTTCTGTGCTTAACTATGTGTGCTACTATATATATATATACCCAATATGGCATGTGTTATCGTGTATTCGTTGGAGGTACTTGGAATTCAACTTCTGTCTTCCCCAGTGTAGTTTATGAGGAGCAGTATGTGGTTCTATGATGTGTTGTGGTTACATTGCAATTTAGGTTGTCTTCAATTCCAACCCTGCATCAGCAAAACGTGGCTATGATTTATCCACTGCTGTGCTAGTGCACACGCAATAGGTGAAGCAGTGCTCCACTCTTCGTCGCGCTCCACTTAGTCACTGAAAAACATCTTCATCGGTCGTGCGTAGGTTCGGGCCTAAGCTGTACTCTCGTCTTGTGTTCCTACTCTAATGAATTGCTATCTACAAGAGTCGTGGTAAGATTGCAGTTAGTTGGCTATGCACCTCTCAAACGCCGGTGCGTCGTCTTGTTGGAGTTAAACGCCTTAATTGATGTAAAGTAGCCACTTGAGTTTGTCGCTTTACAGCACGAACGCAAAATTAAAACATATGCAAATGTATTTTTCGTGAACGACTTATAAAGGCTTCAGAGATATATTTCTCATCATTTAAATATATATGTTATTTGGCTTTCAATCTAACTGCAATTCAACAATTTTCATTTCTATTCAATTCTTTCTGGCGAGCGTTCTATTCCTTCACATTGCTAGTTATAATCGCATCATTTCGTGTTTCTTATTATTTCTTGAAAGTTGAACGTTAACGTTAAAATAACGTTCTATAAAGTTTAACCCTCTGAATGCAAACTCGATTGCAGCGGAAGCAACTTGAAAACATTTTGAGGTCAACGCAATTGAATTAAGAACTATTGATCAAGTGCGTAAATAATATGCTCACACAAACAATGCAAAGCCAATGCACTTACAACCTTGATTGCTTTTAAACGGTTTCCAATTTTAAATCGTGATTTGAAATTAGCGGAAATGTTACATATTTAAGATTTTTTATTCATTAAAATTCAATGATAGAAAAGTTTTCATTTAGCCCCTTTTTATTTCAAGCTTTAAAAATGAGCTTGAAACAACACATCCTGCCTTTCCAACACACATTCTTTCTCTCTTTATCTGCTTTCTTTATGCTAATGCAATTTGGACTTTGTGAAGTTTGTAAATGAGCTCCACGCTTCTGCCTCTTTTAGCAATTCCTTTAGAAGACTTGACGAAGCCAGAAATTTTGCTCTGCCTATTCCCTCTCGTTTACACTACAGTATTTGTGATTGTGGTGTGGCATTCTTTGCACAGCCGCCCTCTCGACCCCAAAAGCAAATTCACTAACACAAACAAAGCGAATTGTTACTAAAGGCGCAGAATCTATGTTCCACACAGTGAATTATCGTGAAAACTTTGCATTATCATCAACTTCTTTTGCTTTTTGTTCTGTTTGTGTTGATATTCTCACCCATCGTCTGTCATGCGGACATTTAACTTTTGTTGTATTCTGCTCATTTGTTTTCATGTCTTCTCTTAGTTTGTTTACACGGAGTTTACTTAGTTGTCACGCCTTGTTTTCCGTATCCTGCCAGGACATCCAGCACATCATTGGCGCCAATGTAATTCGTCATCGGTGTGTTTTTGTGTGCGGCCAGCAGGCAAATGACCAGCTCTGCGGGGTAAGCTGTTGATTTGCTCTGTCATTCAATCGCCGTCGCGTCATAGAGCTTTTCATTGACCGACGTTGTGTTTTAGAAAAATTAAGATTTAATTAGACAATTCTTTCTGTGGTTCGTCTGTCGGTTTCCTCCGCTGCACACAGCTTTTTTATTTTATTTGCTTTATTCAGCTAGACTACTACAGATAAAAGTGGTTTATTCTTGTATAGTCATAATAAATTACATACAAAGATTTTGCTGTGGATTGACACTCGAGAACCAAGTGGTTCTACGTCGCTTCGAGATTTCTTCTACTACAGTAGTTAACTATTACAGTGAGAGTTCAAAGGGAATTACATCTATGTATGTAGACTTATATTTTATTTTGGATGGGGAATTGAAACGCGGTTAAATTTGAGCCATCGAATTGAAAAGAAAAACCAAATGTATTTTAACTCGAATATGTGCGCATATCGCAAAGTTTGCATAAAAATAATGCAAAAGCCACTGACTGTACATAAAATGATGATAAGCAAAGTGCCAACTTAATACATATATTATAAATTTGTAAGATTACCATATTTTCTACAGTTTGTGAAGGTTCCATGCCGCCGACATATTTGGTTTCATAAGGCGATAAATAAAACTGTAATAAAATGATTCGAATTTGCCTATAGAGCTCGATCCGCAGCGCATATACGAAAGTTGCGGTATAATGATAAGCCGCATTCCGAGGTTAGTCACCCAACAAACCGCAGCCGATTGGATTTTATACCCTGCGTAAGGCGTATATTATATATTATTAGGATTATTATTTCGAAGTCTCGCCGCTAAATTTCCAAATAATATCTAATAAATATTATTATTACAACGATGGATAATTGGGTAATAATTTTAAGGAAATTGTGGTTACGGAGACCCGACAGTGGAGCCATGGTCTTTTAAGATTCTATAATGCCAATATTATGGTGTTTATATTGAATTTCTCATCCAATGGCTGGTCTTTAAGCTTAAAAAATCGATCGATGTGGCACTCGATTTCAATCAGATTGATTTCTAGGTGATTGTTTTGTAGATAACATTTTAAGTGAAAACGTAATTGAAATAACTTTACTTTGACCTAAAAATTGTAATACAAGTATCCAACGGTAAGAAATGGCTTCACATGGGAAATCGCTGAGCAACGCTACGACACACAGCAACGTAGAAGTGTTTAACGATGAACGAGCAAAGTGACCACTCTGTAAGAACATCATCAGTATTGCCACCAAACAATGTAGGAAACGTGGTTTCAGCACATTCCTGTCTTCATGCACTTCTTAATTATTTTTTATCGATGTGTATTTCTTTAATCACATTTTTGAATCAGTACCTTTGAGCTATGCGTGATTGGCGGGAACAGCATGCGCGCACGGTTTTTAATTACCCCTAATTTTACTTCATTTATATTCGTTTATCCGTAGAAAGTTCTTTAGCACTTCCACTTGAACTGCATAGAATGTGCCACATATTACAACGCAGGCTCTGATAGCCTATCTCTTAGTTTTCATTCCATTATATGTATGTATAGTCTTACATGTGTACTCGCACATACGTATGTGTGTATACATGTGTCAAGAATACACTGTGCGTTCCATCGTTCGCAGTAGACATGCCTAAAAGTGCGCTGGCGTCTCGAAAACGCTTCCATTTGAAATATGCTTTATTCTTTTCATATTTGTATGTTTACTCATATCTTTCGCTGAGCACTTCGCCTTCTTGATGACAATGATTTTTAAATGAATATTTTTATTGACTCTATCGGCCGGTGGCTGGCAATTTGCTCTTGGGCAAGCTCGCTCTAGCAGCAGTTAGCAGATAGACAATCTGACAATCTCTTACCTCTGAGTGGCTCAGTGATTATTGTTCGCTTCTACGCTTATTTACTTGTTCTCTTCGCCATCTGCGGCTCCGCTTGCTGAGTTGTACTGCTAAGTTTGTTCATTCAAGTTGATGTCGGTTCAATCAATCTGTCCGTTCACCCCTCCGTTAACACCTTTTTATTGCCTGTTGCGTTTTGTGTTTGCTTTGTTTTGTATGTGCATTTACTATTCTATGCGGAAGACAACATTAAATATGATTACCGACTGTCGGTCGGCATCTGAAAGATATGCCCATAATTGTACATATGTACGTATATATCGTGTATATATGTCGATACATGTCGCGCTGCCTCTCTGTGGATAATCACGCTCCCAAACCGCATACCGTAGCCGTAGCGTTGGTTCTCAAGAGTCAATTGATAGCGCTGCGAGAGGAGGCCGGTCGGTTGGCGTTCAGATAGATTTCCAGCTTAGCCAGCGCAGTCTCAATCTTAGCCCCGAGTTTCCATTAGTACATTCGGCATTCAGTGCGCGGGCTTTAGTTGTTAATCAAGTCTTGTTGTGATCGTGTTCGGCGAGCGCGCTCCGTTGTCTAGTGCAAGCTATTTGCTACAATTTAAACAGCTATTGGTTGGTCGCTGTGGTTTGTCTATTATTAAATCGATTGCGAAATTTCGGCAATCGAACTCGGCATACGAGTACAAAGTATATATTCAATACATTTTTGACCAGCGGTGACTGGCTTATGCGGGCTTCCAAAAAATAAGTAGCGCCGTTTGGTAGATTTTTAAACAGAAATTCACTCGTGTAGAATACTAAATATAAGTGATCTGTGTACTCAATGAATTTTGCTAATATGTAATGACGAAGTGCATACAACCAAATGAAATAAGAAAATTATACGTTTTAAGAGGTCTTAAGAACATATGGTTTAGAATAAAAAAATACTATATTCAAATAGTTGTGGTTAATATATCGATTTTTGTGGAAATGTTACGAAGTAGTTGAAGTTTATTTACGAAATTTCAAAGTACATCGAACGCGATTGCGTGATCTCTATAATCATGAAAAAGCTTTACGCCAAAGCATCATTTAAAAGTAAAAAACCGAGCAACAAAAATTCCAACGAAGACTGCGTCGATGGTGATATATATATCAATAAGCCGCAGCATGGCCCAATAATACTCGCATATCAAAGTGGTCCCGCACAACAACAGGTCCAACAAAATCCAGCTGATATTGATATGAATACAGCAACAATGCGCAGAAAACACAGAAAGTCTACTTCCGAAGTAGCTCAGTCGGCAGCCAATGCCACAGCTGCCAGTAATGAAGATGAATCATTTTTCCCGCCACCACCCTCGCGCACGCCCTCCTCAGCATCCACACTGTCCGCGAACAATCCCGCTATCGCTCGTCTCTATCAGCCAGACGATTCCCATTACTACTACTCGATACAGGAGCTGCAACAGCTTAATATGCTCGATCATCGACACCCGCACTTCCACCGCCATCAGCAGCACCAATTGCTACACCAATCTAATTCAGCGACAGCCTCTGCAACTGCCGCGCCCGCGGCCTCAGCAACAACAACATTCTATGAGCATCACAAACTAGTATTGCAATTGCCTATGGCCGCAACAACACCAACAGCAACCTCACCCATTTATGAGGCACCGCAAATTGTCAACAATGCAAATGAGGGCGGCGGCGGTGCGCGTTCGCTAGACTACAACTACAATGCCCGTCATCCGCCACTGCGTTCATACTTAGCAGCTGGTGGCATTGCTGAACACGATTTGGATAAAGATAACGACTTTATGATGAGCAGCGATGGCAGAATTGCTGGCTTTGGTTCATTGCCCATAGTGGATGCTGGGATCAATGCTAGACGGTTGGGTTCGTCATCGCCCTTGTCCACGTCGGAGCGCTCTACCACGCTGTCATTCAACAATTCACGCAAGTTGCAACACACGCACTCAATGCCGTCTATTTGTGTGAAGAGCGACAGGTCAGAGGGGGGTGAGGACATCGTTGATAACGATTATGACGGTTATGAGATGGGCGCACTGCAACAAATGCATGAATATAGACAACAACAACAGCAAATGCAGCAACAACAAGCTCAACATCAACAGCATTTTCATTCGCAGACAACGCGTCATAATTCGGTCAAAGCGAATTTAATTAGTAATTGGCCAACAACAGCCAACGCTGGATATATGTACGTAAGAGTGCCGATTGCCAATTGCTACAAATGATACTCCTATTCAGGGTACTTCAACTAAATTATACACGACCATATGGTTACTCTAAATTATGAGGGACGCTTTGTGCACATAGATTTACCATATAAGTTTTATTTACACAAGCCTGTCAAGAAAATTGCAAACTCTATCTAGCTTCTATCGGAAAGCGTTTATGTGTCACTTGGGTGACATAAAATCGAATTGAAGTAAAAAGTCGTTCGCTTTTGGTTAAATTCGGTCTATATGTTTCTTACTCTTTCTAAAAACTCAGTATTACTATGCTGAGGATATTTGTTTTACTTTGGACCTTCAGTTAAAGTTTATTGACCATTTAGGCTCCTGCTATAGTTGAATGCCCGTTTGCTTTTCCTCACAATTTTATTGCTCTAATCGTTTTCTTATACTCGTACGTGTCCACCGAGAACTTGATTTCTTATTTTCATTTACTCATTTCCTTCTTATTGCATTCTACATTCGACCACCATAGCGAATCCCCGTGAGTCATGGCCTCAATATGTGCGCGATGTGATGTGCTTGTCTCATCCACATCGCGGCAGATGCAATCTTCATCACACTCGCAGCCATTGCCCTGAAAAACATAACACATGACCCATAACATATGAAAGCATAAAACTTTTATCTGCGCTCTTGCGGACACTTATTCGCACAATATTAAGTTTTATATAATTTTTTATTATTTTTTTAAATTTATTTTTTTATTTTTTTTATTTTATTTTTTTTTTTAATTTTTTATTTTTATTTTTAGTTGTTTTTCAGCCGCTTTTCAGTTGCTTGACCGAGAAGTTCGCAGTCGCCATACGTGCATAGAAACGAGTGTTCACATCTACACAGATGTGTCTCGCATAACCTTGATTTGCTCGAATTGGTAGCGCAACGCCTTAAATATCGCTTAATTTTGCGCAATTAAGTTTCAATCAGCAAACGCCAATCAACGCATGATTTGTGTGCAAAAGACCAAAACTGCGATTTTATTTATATGCATCAACTATGAATAGTAATATATATAAATATAGCTTTGTGCATGTTGCATAGTGCTGCCAATGCAACGCCAATTAGAGCTGTAAATTACTTGCAACGCTCGAGTACCTCGCAAATTTCACTTGCAATTTTCCAATTTATGCGAACTTATGGACTTATGTTACATATAAACCTATAACTATAATAAAAATATGTAAATGCTTACAACTAATTTGTAATTTAGCCAACATGTAAACATGCAAATACAATTCTGGAGCGCAACGACTTGCTCGCTGCACACATACAAGTAAATATATATGTATGTATGTATGGCATTCATATGTATATAGTTCTCACTTTTGACTCAAATGCTCGAAGTTGCCAATCTTGTGCTTTCTGCTTAACAACAACCCGTCCAACGGGGGAAGAAGTTCACTTTCATTACACGTAACACCTACTGAGTTCTGTGTCTCGTACATACCCACGTATGCACATGTGCGCATAAAAGGCCGCAGTACGTTTTTGTCATCGCGGCATTATCATCATCATTTGTTGTTGCCAATGTCAGAAGACACAATGACAAACGCATAATCTGGCGCTGCATAGAAGTCGCGCTTAGCACACAACACACACACTGGCTTGACATATAGTAACTCAGTCAATACTGGAACTAGTCTGCCATATGTTCATAAAGTTATTTGAACACAGCGACTGGTTTTCAAGCCTTTTCTTTTCTTTCCTCCTTGCTTTTTATATTCTTTGCGTTTTGGTCGTTTGGTAACTGTTTTTTGTCGTGTTTGTTTGTTGTTTTTTTTAGTGAACACATCAACTCGACCGCCTTCTGTGTTGACTCTTGTTTTTACCCATTGCAGTTTTTTCGTTTTCATTTTGGTAAGACCGGGTCGTTTAGTCGTGGTGTAGAAGTGCAGTCGGTTTGCCGGACTGCTGATTGTCGCTACATAAAATTGTTCGAAGTGAAACCGCGTAAGTAAAGTGTTGGCTTTTTTAGCGGTGTACGGATTTCGATGGTGTTTTTAACTTTTGATATTTTTCACATTGTTCCTTTAAAGCTTCGCAGCATGGTTTTTGTGAAACAATGCTTTATCTGTCTGTATATTTTTTTCTTACACAGTCAACTCTCCTATTGTTTGTAGCGTACACACTTATTGACTGCGCCTGTGGCAAAATCACAGAACTTGTTTGTGGTTATATATGTCGGCATGGACTTGAGTAAACAAAATCACAAATGTGCGCATTTTTTCTAAGTCATTAAGTCAATATTTTTTCGTCGTTTTGGGCGGTGTTAATCCTCAAAAGTATTACATATGTGTTAACAAACGTTTTCTTTCAAAATAGCTAAAAAGCAAAGAATATATTGTACATTGTTCTTTTTTATGCGTTTCACTTTACTTTGTTATTATATAAGACATTCTCCTGTGCTATGAGTGAGAATAAATCTGTGGTCCATGTTTGCCATAACAATTAATTTGAAGATTTGAAGAAGTAAGCTTTTTAAATCTACAGGGTTAAACGATTTACACAGTACAAGCCGAGGAATCAACTTGCTCTATAAAACTAGTTAAAGCGCTTAAGCAACCCGAGGGCATATGTTTGTATACGAGCATATAATGGACTTGCTTTCCCGACGTTCTTGCTAGCGCTTCTTTCCGCACACTAAGCGCATTTTTTTTTTTTTTGCTACTACGACGTTGTCAATCGTGCTGTTCGTAAGCTCCGCTTGAACCTTGTGGAGAGTTGTGTGAAAGCATGATAGGCAAACGTCACACACTATGTGTGTTAGAGTGGATTTGTCAAGCAGGGAGCGATGTGTTAGGTTTTGTGTTACACTTTCCTTACCATTGCTAACTTTATTTCAAATATCTGATCTATGTGTAAATGTAACACACACATAAGAATGCAATTGCAAAAAGTTTCATACGTTTTAATTTCCTGTTAAACTCATTCAAGTTGCTGACATTTGATGCAATGTATTATATAATATGCGATTTTCCCACTTATCTCATGTTTGTTGCACTCTTCTCATGTTTGTTTTAGCAGTGAGCAAAGTATTATTGGCGCCCGCGCCTCTGTCATGGTTTACGATGACAACATGAAGCGCTGGTTGCCATCGGGCACCTCAGCCGGCCTCAGCAAAGTGCAGATCTACCATCATCAACAGAATAATACATTCCGCATTGTTGGACGCAAACTGCAGGATCACGAGGTCGTTATCAATTGTTCCATACTGAAGGGTCTCAAATATAATCAAGCCACACCAACATTTCATCAATGGCGCGATTCGAAGTTCGTTTACGGCTTGAACTTTTCCTCTCAAAATGATGCGGAGGCCTTTGCTCGGGCAATGGTTCACGCGTTGGATGTGAGTAATTTTAACTGATTTGAGCTCACGCTTGGTAATCCTCAAATTTACTGACGTTTCTATGCTTTTCAGGTGCTCAGTGGTCGTTTGGCCAACAACCCGGTTATGGGAGGTGCAATGGGTATGGGTGGTTTACCCACAAACGGCAATGGTTATGAGGAGGATATGGGCTATCGTACGATGACAAGTGAAGATGCGGCGATTTTGCGACAGCAACAACAAATTACTGGACAAATCACACCTTCCGCACAAACTCCAACTTCACAGGCCAATCAAAACAATATACCACAAAGCCCACCAACTCCGCAGGGACATCATCGCACCAGCAGGTAAATAATCGTATTAATATGTAGAGTGTTCTCGTGCCGCTGGACTAGTGAAACTGCAGAACTTGCATGATTTGTGAAGTTCCAACAGAAATGTTGATATATAGAAAAATAATTAGCATTAAGTAGCAATTATCACATCATCAAGCAATCATGCCAGGTTTCTTTGGGTGGTTTTATGTTGCTATTTTAAGTTTGTTAATTAGTTAAGATTATCTGGTGACATCACGAGAAGTAGTGGTTAGGAAACTGAGATAGACGATTCTCTATTTTAGTTTACGAGCAGTCCAAGTCTTACAAAGCTTATGTACATATGTTCATCTAATTCGCATATTCTTATAAAACATTTTTTGTTTTTTAATGAGTTTCGTTAATATATTCTTATTTTACTTATTTTGTTTGTTTGTCTTTTTTCTACACCCGCTCTATAAAATTCACTTATGAATTGTGTCATTGGCTCCGCACTAACCAATCTCCCTTTCTGAATCGTACGACATGCACTCTATTTACTTAAATTTTCATAACAATTTCTTTTCTTCTTCAATTGAATTCGTTACTAACTAACCCGAAACCTGTCATCTATCACTTTTTAAATTCCTCCACTTAATTGTCACACCAAATCACATCGATTTCAAAATCTTCCTTATCGAATTTGCCTATCCGAAAAAATCCATTTCACCACTAAAGAAATTCCCTTAGCGCTCCAGCGGCTCCGCAACCACAGCAGATGACAATACCGCAGCAGCAGCCACAGCCGCCCTATGGTCAGGCAGGGCAGCCCAACGGTTTACAGCAACAGACGCATATTCCACCCGTTCCGGGACAGCCGCAGTACCACGCACCTCAGCAGATGCAACAGGCTCCACAGGCCGCGCACGTTTATTCCGCACAACAGCTGGTCAACGCCGGCTATCCGCCACAATCACAGGTATGTTTTTCGATTGTAAAAATTCAATTGCCTTTTGGTGTATGCGTATTTTAACAGATAGTCTCAATTCAAAACTATTTGTTTTTGTGATATTTTATTTGTGCTTTAATTTTCTCTTTAATTTCATCTCAAATTTGTGTGCTTTACATACTTTGAAATTCTGTTGTAATTTTGGTTTCAACTTCATCCTTTTACAAAACTTTGGAATCCATTAAAAATTGGCCTTCGATCGGAAAAATCGATAATTGCAAAACAAAAACAAAAAAAAATCTAAAAATGTACATAAATATTGAAAACATCCAAACAATAAACTCCTGCTGCCTGTCCGCCCGTCCGCCTATCTGTAATGCCTGTATTGCCTGACTTGCCATAATTCTTATCACACCAACTACCACCAACCATTGCAACCAACCACAACATCATTCGTCATCATCACAGTACCAGCCCAGCCACTTTATGTTATCTAATTCTAATCCGAATCTTAATCTGCATCAATATTCACAACAGCAACAGCCGCCGCCACAATGCATACCAGGGGCGCCTCAGCCACCAATGCCGCCACCACATCAGAATGGTATCGGTGGCGGCGGCGGTGGCGGCGGTCCAATTTATGTTTCTTCATCGCAATCGCAGCCAGCGCTGCCCACATCCGTTAGCTCGAGTAGTGGTGTATATGGTGGACCACCAATCCAAATGCAGCAGCAACAACAACAAGCTCCAAGTGGTGTACTGCAGAATGGTAGTGGCGGTGGTGGCTTAGGTGTTGCTGCTGCTGCTGGTGCTGCTGCAGCCCCGCCACCGCCACCACCACCTCCATTCGGAGGCATAGGTGCTCCAGTTCCGCCTATGATGGGTGGTAGTAGTGTACCTCCAGCACCGATGCCGCCACCGGCAAATGTTAATCGTAGCGCACCACAAGCACCAGCTGCACCACCACCACCGCCGGCAGCAGCTGCGGCACCACCACCACCACCTCCGCCCCCCGCGGGAGGCGCTACATCATCGAAAAAGGACGACCCTCAAGCCGATCTTATGGGATCATTGGCGGCTCAGTTGCAACAAGCCAAGCTGAAGAAGAATAAGGTAATTAATATTGATTTGATTTCAACGAAATCGTAATATCCCGCTTACTTTTCAGCCATCGGCGGCACCCACAGAAAATAGCGGCAGCAGCACCTCAAGCGGCGGCAGCGGTAACTATGGCACAATCGGTCGGAGCTCAACCGGTATGGCTTCCATGATGGATGAAATGGCTAAAACATTGGCACGACGACGTGCACAGGCCGAAAAGAAAGAGGTAAATTGTCTATCGTTGTCGTTATCGTGTATACAGGATAAAATGTATGCGTATGTATTTTTCCATTGCGCTATTTTAGCCCGAAGTCGAACCGGAAGTAAAACAGCGTCCCTGGGAAAAGTCAAATACTTTGCCACACAAACTGGGTTCGTCATCATCGAATACGAATTGCAATGCCTCTTCCAACAATACATCGAACAGTGGTAGTGAGTCACCACGACCGATGCGCAAGCGATTTGGTAGCGCTAGCGAGGAGACGATACTTAAGGTCTGTAACATTTCTCAGCATAACATTCGGTAATATTGAAAAGGTTGTATCTGATGTGGCATTTGTTATTGTACAGCAGGTTAATGGCGATGGTCTATCATTGGCTTTATCAAGCACTGAGTTGGACACTTTAAAGGCTGATATACTGAAAGAGATTCGCTCTGAAATACAAAAGGTCAAACAAGAAATTATAGAAGGTTAGTCCTCTTACCTACAACGGCTATTCAAGCATCCACTGTAAATACATATATACAATAATAATTTTAATGTTTGCAGTAATAAAATCCGAATTCAATCGAAGATAAGATCGGCAACAGTCTGGTACGAGCAGCATTAGTAGCCGCCGAACGGTGATCAAAAATATATTTGTCGGTGATAAAATGAAGTAGTTGGATGGAATGGGTGGAATGTATTGGAATCCGTTGTGGAACAATTTGTTTTAAGTTAGCAACATACTGCAGATTGCAAAAAAACAACAAACATTCTTTTATATATATATACATATATATATTATCTACAAACGTTTAAATGGAAAACGGAATACTTACTTCCATTATTATACATCAAAGCTAAGAAAAAAAAAATAACAAACATTACTCAAGCTAAATATGTAGCTTCGGATATCAGCAAGATATGTAGCACCGCTGGTGCTAATCTAACGGTCATAACAACACAACAATATTAACAAGTAACGAATAAACAATGAACTGAATACATATTGAAAATTTTTAAATAAAAAATTTAATGTAGTAGTAAATAATACAAAAATAACAAAAATAACAGTGAAAATGATATCCCAAAATACACACACTTACTCAAATTGCCGGCGTTTTCATATTAATTTACATACCGAAGTATGTATGCATTGTACTAGGCATCGCGAAAAACACTTTGCGAAGCAAAAAGTACTTTATCAAAACGCAACGCAACGCAACGCGTTTATACAGCGCGTGGGCATACCACGTAGTTCATGTTAATGTCGCTTTGTGTAGGGAATGCAAGCAAACGTTTCATATTTCTAAAAAATCTTTCGAAGTTAAACCTTCGTACTATAAATTTATTAAGAATTCGTATTAAATAAAAAAATAAATACATACATATAAAATATTTAAGTGTAATATATCGTTGCTCGCTCCATGAATCTACAAATAATATATACAAAATTTGAAGAAAAAATATGTTCAAACTGATCATACGATGTTCGCTGTATTTATATTACATCTACTATAGACATAGTTTTACTATTAAAAAAAAACTTGAACAAATAGTATAATTACCCACATACATACATAGCTTTAGTTGAATATGTATATTATTTGTGCTTTATTTTGGCTAAACGGAATACTTCGTAAGTTGTCTTTAGGTGGTAAATCAAGCAAGTCTCTCGTACAAAATTTGCCAATATGTATGATTTTTGTGTATTTAACTTTATAAACCGCCGCATACAAATTCTCAAATTCTATAGTTCCTTATCATATTCGCAGCATTTGTAAGATAATTTTCCATTTTGTAGGCAAACGCGTTTTTAGTCCGGCTGCGAAGAACAAAAACTGAACACTTTGAATCTATATGCTTTTTATATAAACACAACCAAACATAACGAAATGAGCGAAACGATTGTAATACAATGACACCGCCAAATTGTGTATTCGATTTTTTTTTATACACACACATACACATATACATATGTTAAGTATTTGTTTTAATTTCTATTACTTAAATGCATTTTTATTTCTTTTGCACGTACACACCGTTCTGTGTGAATTATTTATAATGTATACTTATACATATACATACATACATACATAGTTATAGTGCGATTTAAGTGCATTCATGCGACCATTCATTAATATTATATGTACTACATAGCAATTATCTAAACAATTTGTAAAGCAAAAATATAAAAAGAATGAAAAACAACAAAAACTAAACATAAATTCGATTATATACCAGAAGAGAACTGCTTTCTAAATGTTACTATTACTATTATATAATATACATACTCTGATAATATTATATCAAACGTGAATAAAACCAATGAAACGAACGAATAAAAACATTCATGGATTATAAGAGATTAAAACTAAAAAAAAAAAATACTAAACATAATTGTTAATATATAAGTACATATACGCGATTAGATCGACGCCTCGATGGTGAGCTACGAAGGCGACTGCATAAGTACTTGGCCGAAATATTTGGAAAAGTAAATTCGTAGATTCGAAACTTCTTCAAATAAGTAGTGCGTAAGTACAGTAACACTAAAAATTATGGTAAATCGAATACTTGCAGATTATCAGCGAAAGTGAACGCTTATAGCTGCAGCTACATATGTCTTCTTTACAGTTATAAATATATGTGCTTCACTGGAAATTAGAGAAATCGGAGGAAACTTCAAAGTTGTGGTTTTAGTGGAAAACCCAGCATGTACAAGACAACAAGATATTATAGATAAACTGTTTTTACTTAAGTGGCTGAATTAGAGACTCAAAATAAAAAATTAAGTTCAATCTACATTTTTTTTCGAAGATAATGCTATAGACTATACGGTCGACATAGTAGCGTGTGACCTCCAGCCTCATTCCGAAGAATTCTGCTGCGAACCTGAAATATTTTTTACGTTGATCAAACTATTTGTTTCCATTTTTTGTGTTTTATTCAGTCGCTCCGCTATTTCCACCAATGAGCGTGTTTTTGTACACAATCAAAACCTTTCCCGAGTCGTCAGATTAAAATTACGAAGATGCAGCGCGTTTCTGCGCGCTTTAGACATCAAGCATTCGACAACAAGTCTGCAAATAGTAAAATTGTTTTAGAGTTTCCACATATAGAATATAGTAAATGCATTACATACAAAAACATGGATTTGTGCAAAAAAGTGTGCATTGCATGGAAATACAGTTGTGAGTAAAAGAAACCAAACTAGTGAGTAAGTTTAAATAAATGTAATTTACATAAGCACAGCGAAGCAAAACATTCGAAATGAAATATGTGCAAAGAAGCATATTAAGAATGTAAGTGTTGAATACTAATACCAGTAAATACTTCCGTATGTGACTAAGTTGGCAGCCCCAAAGTCGGGTGCTGAAGCGAGCCGAGAATCGATAGAGGTTGGCAAAAATGGTCGTTTTTGTTCTGGATATTTTAGTTGTGGTGTATATGGATTTGTATGTTAATTTGATGAAAAATTCATCTCAGAAAGTGTGTACAAAGGCTTCTCAGATGCTTACCCACTTTGTTTGCTTCCAGTATTTTGTTTGTGAACCCATGGAGTACTAGATATATTGTTGTATGCTATTGCTATATGTACCATTCTATTCTGTGCGATAAAAACTACAACAACCACAAAAAAATTTATATATTAAAGTAATAACTTTGTCACATCCTTGTTTATAATAGATGTATGTAACACCACTAAACACGCTTAAAATCTAAGTAAAGTAATAAGTTTTTAATTTAAACAACTACAAAATAAGAGAATAATGAAAAAAGCAAACAAGAAGCGATGATTTTTTACAATTGACATTTAATTGATAATTTAGTAATAATAAAGTGTTGAATATACATACATACATACGAAATCTACTTAATTAAAAGAAGAAGGAATAAATGAAAAATAATAAAGAAAACATATTCAAGACGATATACAAAGACTATCAAGTTTCATATGAACATACACACATATGCGGCACCAAAAATTGTCAAGTAGATAAAATACAAACACGCCATTGAGCGATGCATTTCAACACACAAATAAGTAACTCAGCATTTCGGAAGTAAAACAATTTCAAAGTAATAATTGACATGTATGCATGCAAACCAATACATATGGTAATAGAGAAGCAAAATAGACAGAAATGAAATAAAGCCAAAAAAGTTTATGTAAAATAAAACAACAACCATTGTGTATATTTCAATAATTTGTATAAGAATGGGTTGGGAAAGTTTCTGCACTGCGGGCGAAGGTGCTTTGCGGGCTCCCAAACAAGCCCGCTGCCCAAAAATTCAAATAACATGATATAACAGCTGTAAATTGATTGTGGGCAATGAATTTCAGGTGAACAATCAAAATACATATGCATCGCTTTCTACGCTCTGCCTCGGACTATAAAAGACAAGTATACAAGTATTTTAGTTTAAATACTATTTTGGTTTCTTATGTTGAACTTATTTAAAAATTTGTGTAGATGAGAGTTGAATACACTCTCAGACTTGACACTGAATGCCACAATCATTGATTATTTTGTGAAGTTTCAGGTTGCACTAGTTCTTAGAGAAAACGGTGCATTCAGGTGGTTCTGATAGTTCTAGTCCCTTAACTATTCAATTAGTTATTATTTTCACACTTTTAATTTGTATTTTCTTTCTACTACAGTCGTAGACTTTTTACCAGCAACTTTTATATGAAATTTCAAAGTGGAAACTACCGTTAATAATTGGAAAGCTTCTAGCGAATGAAGCATATACGCAGGCGTTCATAATATTTACATTCTCTGCTTAAACGGCTAAAAGCTCTGCACTTATCGGAAAGCTCACCAATAATCTGTTTGATGGTTTATATACGCATTAGAAATTAGCAATGTATGAGTGAGAGTGTGAGAGCGAGCGCCACGAAACAAATACACCGAGAGAGTGGTAAAGAATTGTGCGCTGTGAAGGGCGCATGTGGAGAACTGGGGCAAATAATGACGTGTTTTAAGCGAATCTGTGTAGCCGTGTGAAGGCAGCTTTGCAAAGTTGCCATAAAAGCAGCAAAAATATTGAGTGAGTATCTGAGTGCGTGCGTGTGCTTGCTTATCTTATAGATTCTCGTTTGCTTGAGCAGACTTCAGTTTGAAACTGAAACTCTGCGAGTAAGGTATGTTTTGCGGTTAACAAACATAACATAAATATATAAAGTGCTGTGTGATCAAAAGAATGGAAAAGAAATAATTATAACAATAAAGCCAAAGTAGAGACTAACTAAAATGTGCGCGCCGTCGATGAGTTTCGACAAAAATATACTTGAATGTTAATGTGCGATGTTGTTTGTGTGCGCTACGAATAGCTACAGTTTTTTTTTGTATTTAATGTGTTCTAGCTTATTTTTGCGCTCTCTGCCCCACTCTAGTACATATTTTCTGTTTGCCAACCCCCATTTGGATAGCTTTCGAAAGTGGTTAAATCGTGGAATGAATTTCCACAATGAAATCTATTTCAAACATCCATCTCTTAAACACCAAAGCAAACTTGCTATTTATTCCATAAAAACAAAAAAAAAAAATAAAATAAAATCGAACAGCTGATATCAGCGTTGCAGCAGCCACCAGCCACTGTGCAGCTAGAGTGCTCTTTTGGCCATGATTTGTCAGGTTTTTATTGACATAACAGCAAAGTGAAGGCACCATATTGATACGCTCGGTAGCCAACAAAAACCAAAAGAATGTGTGCAAATATTTGTATATATACGTACATATACATATGCACATATGTACGTATGTACATTTGTATATGTGTAAATTTGAACAAAGAAAAGGGCAAGAAAAACAGAAAATAATAATTGGAAATCTGAAAATCTGAAAATCCGAAAAGTACGAATATAGGCATATACATACTTATACATGCATACTTATACACACATATGGGTATGAATATGCACAGATACACATAAGCACATACACACAGAATTCAAATAAAATACTGTAATCTACTAAATTGTATTTAAACAAAATTGCAAAAATTATATTATATTAAATGAACGAAAAGTAAAGTGGCTGCCGCCCAAAATTTTAAGCCATAACAAACAAATGTGCTATTTTTACCACTCAATAACCAATCGCGAATTAAAAGTAGCCGTGTTTCATTGATATGCGCAAGGCATTTCTGGGCGTCGTAATCCACATGATAAGCACATTGTTTACTAACAATAAAAAATAAACGTTGAAATATAGAAATTCATAATTTAAACGCATACACATACACAAACATATATATAGATATGTATGTGTGTATAGGTGGTATTTTGAAGTGGTGTAGCTTTCCAAACACTTTGTTGCTAAATAAATTCAAGTTGTTTGACAGCTCTAATTAGTAATTAGAGTTAGAACTAGATCTGCTGCTTCTGGGATAGTCAAATATTGCAATTGGAAATACTAAAATTAAAAAATATTTCATATTCTTGCAGTAAATTTTACCGCGCGTAAAATTCTGATATCTCCATCGACTATACTCGCGTAAATTGAAGCAAACCTAAAGCAGCCGCTGCAGAGGAAGGCACACTGAATTCATATTTACGAGTTCATGGCTACGATAGCATTTCGTAATTGGTCACAAAAACGATAATCGAAGAAACACAAATAACTCAGCTCCAACAAAAAACGTCGAATATACGCAAAAATCGAACAACTATATATAGAAAAGCAATTTATTTCGCAAAAAACACAATGAACAAAAACCATAAAATATATAAGTAAATAAAGCTAACGAAAGTCAACATAACAAATAAACAGAAACAGAAAAGCGAACTCTCCAACGCACACTTTTTCTGCTGTTGCGCTTCGTTACGTGCCTACAAATGTAAAAGTGCATATATGAGTAAGACAGCATCTTGTAAGCAGTAAATACATACATATATACACATCGTGTTCAGCGCGTCCTTCCCAAACTCGCTGCAATTCAACCAGTGGCCTTGCTCCGTTGTACTCGCACAACGTGCATCCTTTCACATCGTTTAAGACACAAACTATCAATCGAGTGAGTTATCCGCTTTGGCATACTCTTTAATACAAGCCCAGCTACTACCTTAATGTTTGCTCCATTACTTATGTACATACATACATACACCTGCTACATCTGTATATGTTTATAAATAATTTTTCTGTTAATAATATTGTTTCTGCTCTCATATATTCCCCACATTCCCTTTATGGAGTGCGTTGTACAAAATTTTCGCTTAATTTTTAAAATAAAATTTAATAATTTTTTAAAATTTGTGCTGTCGTGAAATCGTATGTATTGCAATTGTTCTTATTGGTGACGAATACTTTTCATTAACGAGCGGACGAGTCTGCAAAGTCTAGTGATTTAAGTATGTATATTCAGAGTGGATCGTTCTTTGTGTGAAAGTCGCAATTTTTTGACATTTTATCACCTTAAATATATGTATGTATTTGTATACTCATTTATGACATGCGCCGGTTTCATTCGGTCGATGCACCTGTCAAAAGTGAGAAGCATTAGAAATAACAATAGCTGTAACGTTTAAGTAAAAAACCTACAGATATCTACGAGCGCCGCCTGAAATCGCTTATAACGGATTAATGCCTAGGCCTAATAAACATAATTTTTGATCTTAATATATTTTGCATATGTAAGTACCTAACGGTGTACAGGTGATATAGTTTACACGTACCGCCGAATTAACAAATCGAAATTGGCGCTTACTCAATTTTCTTTATTTGATAATATGTTACATGCATTCCTATGTATATATATGTATATGTTTTGACTAATGCACACGCACATATTTAGGATGTTTTAACATGTGTCTATTTTCGCTTCTATTGACTTAACAAGTTTTATCCAAACAACATTTTATTTAACCATTTTAGCATTGTTTTTGTGGTGTTCATGTGAATTCAACATAGTTCATAGAAGCCTGAAATATAGTAAGCGTTTGATATACTTACATGCATATGTACATATATTGACAGCAAGCATGTGGAAAAACAATATTCTATTAAAGTTAAAGTTTATCATATTTTTTCATGGTTTCACTTGCTTCCTGTCCATTTTAACTGCTTTTCTTTGTGTGTGCTTTAATTCGTGTACATTTTTATATACTTAACCACATTCGTACACACATGAATGAATGTATCTGAACAAACAATTGAATATGAATAAAATCCAAAAATCTAATTAAAATTTTTAACTCATTCATGAATAAACATTGGTGACACATCTACAACAACAAACAATTGCTGTGCATAAATAACTTTCAAAAACCGAAATATTTTGAATTTGCGCACGACCGAAAACTACATACATACATATTTGCAATAATACTTGAAACAACGCGACCCGTTGACGGATTTGGACGCCTCTCATACCCTCAACGCGCTGTGCAACGCATTTTATGGCATGTAAGTAACGTATTTTTTCTAAAAGTTTTGCAGTTTATACTTTTATGATGTAACATAGCTACCTGGACATAATAGAAAGGATATGTTTATTTAAATATTGGTTAGTTAAAGTCTGCTCTTTATTATGCTTTTAATTCAATACAAATAGACTGTGTTAAGTAATCGTTTGTAAGGGACATCTTCGGCTAAAGTATCAAAACTGGGTCACGTTGCTCGCTAACAAATTGCTCCATGATGAAAAGCCGTTAAGAAGGAGTCCCAAACCGACTATTACCACGCAACCCCTATAATTTACACCGTTGCCACCCAGTTTAAACACATATAAATATTTTAGAGCAGTTCAGCAGATGTACTATACACACATATAAGTATGTTGATAATTGTTGTTTAAGTTATACCTTTTTATAAATATGTATACATACATATAACTATGTACTTACAAACATATTTAGGAAATTGTGGCTACGAAAATTCTAAAAGCTTTGATATGAAGCAGGAAATGCACACACAACACATTTGTGGTTTTGAATTTCACTCGAGCCTAAAACATCACGTTGTTTTTATTTAAAATATTAGATTTGAAATTCGCTGGCAGTTAGCTGTCTATCTATTTTTAATTTATTGTGTCTCTGGAAAATATTTTAGCGGTAATCTTTCCACGTCCTTTTTGAAGCCTTAAAACTTACACAATTAGAATAAATAAATATATTCGTTATTCGCCCTTCTGCTCTGTGTTCGAATAAGTCAGATTGCTGCATTTGTTCCACATTTCTTTTTATCTTTTATGCTCTTCGTTGTTTATGCATTTCTTCTTCATACCGAACACTTTATTTCCTTTACTCCTTTTTCTTGCTGTGGTTGAACTATTGATTGTGGCATTTGGCGTATTCTACGATTCCACTATTCTACGCCACTAACCCAGTTTGCCACATCAACTTTCAGTTGTTGAAAATTTCGTATCGAAGGCAACTTAGCCCCGATTTATTTACGAAGTTCACATGAAAATGTGTATACTCACGTGCTACAGAAGCAAAAGGTTGTTACTATGTTGCATGAAGCATTGACAGCGTTCATGGAATATGTGCATGTTTTCAGACTCGTTGGCACCACTGTTTCCAACGACCTCCTCTGCACCCTGCGCAATCTGCGTTTGGTTTGAGCGTCTCCACTCCGCCGTTTTGTTTACAGCACACACCACTTTCGTCCTTCGGCATGTACAAACACAAATAAATTCGAATCGTATAGATACATATGTACGTAAATACGAATATTTCACGGTGGTATAAGAAGTTCAGTTTGGATTAAAGCTGAGAAATTGTCAGCGTTACTATTACAACCTCAAGAAATATACTCTATTTAAATACGACAAGTATTTACGAATAATTATTCATTTGTTTAGATACAGAAAGTGCAATACGTTCTAAAAAAGTGGCTCAACGTTACGTTTCAAAATTGCAAAAGGATTTCTTTGCAAAGCTTCTCATTACCTATCTTAAAGACTAATGCTTAACTTATAATAATTAGTCCTTTGTCAAACGCGTTGAAAATCATCTGTCACAATACCTCGTCATCTGTCAATACAAATTTTTATCGACTAAACACATCGTTGCCAAAAAGCAACTAACCTCGAATTAGTATTCCTTACTTGTGCATTGAGTTCTCTTTGTTTTTGTTTTGCTCAGTTCTCACTGTGTGGAATGTAAGCTATGCAAGTAGTTGTTGGATACGGGCATCACCTCAATGATCTCACTCCAATTGCCTCGCGGGCGGGCAACGAATCACATGATCGCTTTATTACTTTATTTTTTTTTTACTATATTATTTTATTTTTATTTTGTTTTTCCAAAGACAACATTCATTTGAATTGAGCTCAGAATTTCAATTGGCAGCCAGAAAAATAAAAGACGCGAAAATGCAAAAAAGGATCGAACTCAAAGCGATATCTTACAGACAAATATGGTGGATCACCAACATTCATATATACAAATAGGTATTTAGATAAACATTTTGGGTAACAAAATGCAAAAAGAATTTCGTTATGCACGCTTTCAATAAATTGAAAAAAATGGCTATGGAAAAACCGAAAAGCAAGCTCAAAAACAGTTAGTTTGAGTGGTGACGTATTATCGAGAGGCTTTCTTCAAATGGTTTCGAACAGTTTAGTGACTGCAGTCCCTTGTCGTAGTAAACGTAGAACCTGTAAGTTTCTTGCTTTGTTCATCTCTTGTGTCGAACTTTCTAAGTGCAAATATGCGTTAGTCGACAATTTTTCGTATTCAAATACCTGTCTTTTTTATATCTGATTTGCTCATAGAATATAAATGCCAATAAATCAATATTCACATACAACTTATGTGGCCTTGTCCATTTTCACCCCAACCGAGGCGTTAATAGAGTAATTAAATAACTTGTTCGCATCAAAAATTGTATCTACAACTTGTATGTTGATCGATCCTATGCAGTACAGTGTGTGCTACAAGTGTGTTAAAATGGAATGGCATTCTTTCCTTCACATAGCTTATTAAATATTTATAAGGAGCATGCCTCTTATTTTTTGCTTGACACTCTGTTCTGACCGCGACAAGCGAATAACACGAACTTCCCGTGTCATTCCTGAGTATTTTAAAGGTTGCAAGTTCAACTGCGCAACGAGAATCAAGCATGTGTATGGCTATGTTTATGCATGCGGATACTTACATACATATGCGTACCCGGCAAGAAAATCAACTGGCCACATACGCAAATAGTCGGCGGCCTGTCTTAAAAAACATAGTTGTGTTGTGCCTCTAGGTGTGGAAATATTAATTGTCAAATTCCGGTCAGAAAGATACGAGTTAAAAAATAGACCACAAGATATTTTTGTTCGTCTTAAAAAATAACCATTAGAAAATCTTTCTAAGACTGAGCCGAGTCTGTCGGCTTTTTGCCTAGTTGGGGCTTAGATAAGATTTTATAGTTGTAAACTAGTATATTTCTCTTCTTTCTTATATGCGTACAAATTAGACGTGAAGATTTTGTTTTAAGTGCGGATGAGTTTGTTGCATATTATATCTTTTTACAACAAATATTTTGACATAAGGAAGTCATAAACAATTCGCTTTCGGAGCTTCAACCCAAGATATGACTTCGCTAACAATCAAAACTTTATTTAGATACGAGATCAAGCAGATACATATGTACATTCATAGGTACATACTCACATACAAATATAGATTTGCATGCAAGCGCTTTGAAAGCAGGAAAATTATGTTTCCATTTATATATGCCATTTGCGTGCAAGCGAAAATTGCGACAAACGCTCGAGTGTTCATTTATAATCATTGGTGAATGGCGCAGCAGAGCGTTTTGTATAAGTTTCTACATGCATCCATGCAAAGGTGGCATGAATGTGAATATGTCAGCGAGACCCAGTTTCCGCTTCCGTTGCACACATACATATATAACACATATATACGTATATAGGTGTTTGTTTGTGCTTATACTATAAAATGTGTGAGTGAAGAAGAAGAGACTGAAATTTATTGGATCTGCACATGTAATGCCTACACACTCCGCTTTGGTGATTGCAACAGCGTGGAGATTTCGCTGTCCATCTACATGCTTATATGTATG